CTCCCCAAAACCCCAAAACCCCAAAACCCCTCTTAATCTCACCATTTCAATTTTTTAATTTTATAACACAAAATATGAGTTCCTCTCAAGAAGAAGGTAAAACTCCCTTCCAACCCAGCTCTTCAAGCTATATCTCCAGCATTGAGTCCCAAGAGCCCTCAACCCACCGTCAGCCTCCTTTAGACCCTCCTCCATCTACAAAACCCACTTCTGAGCTTCAAGAGGAACTGAACAAAATACCACCTGAACTCTGCACAGCAGAATTCCATGGCATTATCAACAAAGTCTGGCTGACACAACGAGATAAAGAAGTTCTCAAAAACGATGCTGAAATCTTAAGAACCGAAGTATCTCATATTTCCAAAGAAGGCCAATGAGTTTGTTGTAAAAACAAGTTGGGAGACCTCTCACAAGTGGAACGGTTTACCTTCTGGACAGGTATACAGACCTTCAAGATCTTTGGAACTGGTGTCCCTATGTATTTCTATTTTATGATATTTCTCATGATCTTATTCTTGTCCATCTCATTCGTAGTTTCTATCCCTACAATCACACTCAACATTATTGAAGATGAAAAGGACGAACTTGGTGTACGCTCTCCATCCTTTTTAGTGTACACTTCCATTGGAAATCATGGGATAACAGCATCTAATTTCAGAAAATCCTTCTCTATTGACTCAATAATCGCTTTAAACATGCTCGGGACCCTAATTATCTTCCTCGGCTACCGCATCTACAGATGCATGAGTCTCAAGAAGGCTTCTCAAATCGATGAAGAAACTATCACTCCCAGTGATTTCACCATATTTGCAATGAACATTAAAAGAGATGTTAGTAAGAAGCAAATTCAAGACCATCTTGAAGAAAAATATAACGCTCAAAATATCAAAGAAGTTATCCTCTGATATGACATTAATCGTGCTGTAGAGCTACTTCGAAAAAGGAAGCAAGAAGAACGCAGATTAGCATCCTTTAGACTTATGTATTCCAATGTGGAAGACCCATCTAAATTGAGAAAGAAAATTTGCTGATATGAAAAACATGTAAGAACTGAACGGCAGATTCAAGAAAGAATTGACAAGCTTACTGAAGAAATCGAAGAGTGAAAGAAAGTTTATGAAAACCCTGAAAGAGACGAAGATGATGAGTTTTGAGGAAAGGCATTTATAATTCTAAATAACCAAAATGAAGCTACTCGCCTTAATGAAGAACTTCACATTAAATCCTACAAGAGAATTTTCAAATATGTTTGGAATAAACTAATCTGATGTAGGTCTAACTCTAGAGGGAAGTTTAATATTGTTACTCAAAGAGCAAGTGAGCCAACTGATGTCTTCTGGGAAAATTTACCAATAACTTCAAGAGTACGCTTCACCAGATCAGCTATCTCATTCTTTGCAATGTTTTTCCTACTATTGTTCTCATTTTGATGAAATTTAGTCTTCGGGATCTTCAAAGATCATTTGGAGAGAAAATATGACAACAGCGGGAAAGCATTCCAATTCTTTAATTTCATAATGCTGATGCTTTTGAATGCACTAAATTCCTTAGTGATTTCATTTTTCAACGTCAGCTTAAAGCACTTAGGAAAAATTTTGACTGAATATGAAAGGCATGATTCATATACCTCTTACACTTTATCCTTAACAGTGAAGATGGTAGTATCAATGTATATCAACACAGCAATCATTCCTCTCTGAATTAATTACCAAGAGAAGTATTGGTTTGCAGGTACTGGGCTGATAGCAGATATATTCTACAACACTATCGCAATATGCTTTATCAGCCCTCTCCTTTATTTTTACGATCCTAAATATCTGTTAAAAGTATGTAAAAGAAAAAGGGAGATAAAGAAAGGGGAAAGATCCAAATTGACACAAAGGCAATTTAACGAGCTTTTTGAAGGACAGGATATTAGCCTTGAGAACAGATATACTTCAGCATTTCTAATAATTTTGGTATGCTCGACATACACTGTACTTCTCCCAATCCTTCCGATAATTTGCTTCTTCGGAATCCTCTACCAATATTGTCTGGTTAAATACATGTTGGTGAAATACAATTCTCGCCCAAGAGAAATTGGATACATTATGGATATAAGCGCCTCCAACATCTTGATTCTAGTGATCCTTGTGAACGGATGAAGCATCTGGTACTTTCTGACCAGACTCTCTGATGGCGAGAACTTCTTTGCCTGGATTCCTCTTTTAATCGCTAGTATTTGCATCTTGCTCCCCATAAGTTATATTGAGAAGAAATTAAATATAAATAAAGTGACAAAGAGCGACAGAGTTACCTATGAATCCATCGATAGCTTCGATTTTACATATAAAACTTGAAATCCTGTTGAGCTTGATGGGAAAATTAGTATCGCAAGATTGGAAAAATATGCTGGCAAAGACAAGCTTAAGCAAAACGAAATCATTTGGGGAGATCTCCTAAAAGACGTTACTGAAGCTCTTAAAATGAGTAATCAGAAAGCATCATTATTGCCTCCAAAAATAAAGAAGAACTTTAGTGCTCCTAATAGAGCTGCTCCTTTACGAAAGCAATCCAAAACTCAAGGTAAGTTTTCCATAATCACCATTTCAGATTTAACTGTTTTCGAAAGACCAAGGAGATTTACTACAAAGGAGTAAGGGTTTTACTTATAATTACAGAAGCGGAAACTCCTCAAAGGAAGCTCTTAGCTCACTTATTAATAGTGCTCAGGGAAGTCGAAAGTGGAGTGGTAAGTATTTATCTTAAATATCCTTTCACCATTTCATATTAAATCCCGCTTAGGTACATCAAAAACTCTTACCAAGAAATTCGATGAAAAGGAAGAACATAGCTCTGAGGATAGGATTATTACTCCTGGGGAGATCATCCTTGAGACCAAGAAAGAAACACCAGGCAATTGGGGCAAGGATAAAGTAATGGACCACAAACGGACTCGAAATGGTGATCTAGAAAATATCCCATCGGAAGGAAGCCAATCAAGCAGTAGTGAAGACACAGACTATATTCCTGAAAGCGAAAGCTCTGAAGGTGAAGAAGCAAGTAGCTCCCCTAAAAATGATAGTACAAGTGAACAAATCTCTTCTGAGATTTATTAGATTGAATTTTCAATGTACTCATAAGTGTTGGGGTTTTGGGGTTTTGGGGTTTTGGGGTTTTGGGG